TACTCAATCGCCGCTCGCGGGAATAGTTGACCGAATGGGAATTATGGCGCGAGAAAAATTACTCGCTATGAGTCATTATTTTTGTTTCATTTCGAAATATTGGCATATATGTCGATCGTTCTTCAGTTTAACTTCTGCATTTAAGTTAAATACACTTTTTAAAGGCATTATTTTTATAGAATTTGAATATATTTTGTGAAAATCGGGAATCTGACAATGATGGCGATTTTGTTATTGTTGACAAAGAAAATGAGAATGCGAACGTTTGTACTCTTTGCAAAGTGACACGCCAGTGAAACCAAATAGAAAGAACCTTTCCAGCAGAAAGGTTATGCAAACTCCTACAAAGGCAAAGATTAGGCAAACTCCTACAAATAATTCTGCAGTGAAAAGGCATAGTTGGATCTTTGAAGAAGATGAAGCCTCCATCCAGTTTATATCGATTGCCAGTATAATTCCAGAACAGGTCCTAAGTATGGCAAAAGTTCAGCTTCTGAAATTTCGTGCTTATTTAGAACTGTTATTGAACAAACTGTTCCTACATTTTGCTTTGGCAAATGGTATAACATCTAATCCAGCCAGGTTGTGCTCATTATCCATACAAGCAATCAAACTACTGAACCCAGGACTTTCAAAATAAGCCGGCGGCCTCCGAAGCTGCGGCGGGTGCCACGATGTTTATCGCCGGCTACTTTCCAGGTGATCTCGTGTTCGTATTTTAGCCAATCAGCGCTCAGAAAGGGTTGTCCGAATAGAAATCCATTTCGATGTATTCAGTCAATTATATCTTTCGTTATTCTTTATGAAACTAGTTGAAATTTTGTAATTATGTTTGGTTATGAGAACTATAGCTCTGACAAAAATATGGAATCGAAATAAAGTATATTACAGGAGATATTCAGTTGTTTTAATCATAAAATGGATTTCTATTTGACAACTAGTGCCAGTACTTTTCCGCGTATCAAGATCATCTGGTTGTTTAGCCCTTCAAATATCAATTTTGCTCTCCTTCCTCCACTCTAAGCTTTCAAGTTATTTTTCATGAACCATATTGACCGTAAAATTTTACTTGGAAAACTATCTTCCATGGAAGTCCCACCAATTATAATAAGCCGGATTAAAAACTTCCTAACAGAAAGAGAACAACGTGTCAAAATTGGCCTTTGTGTGTCCGAGTGGCAAAAAGTTAATGGCGGAGTGCCCCATTAAGGAACCGTACTGGGACCAATCCTTTCTTGGTCATGATAAACGACTTCCTTGAAGATTGGCAAGACCGTTGGAAGTATGTCAATGATACTAATGCCACTGAATGTATCAGGCCAAATTGCCCATCTCACCTTAATAATAATAATAATAATTTAATTTGCCACCATTACAACATTTTGTAAGGAAAAAAAGAAATTATTTACAATAATTAATGATAATAGTGGCGAGGAAGCTTAAAAAAGAAACCATAAGACTTATGTAAATTTAAGCTTCCTCATTTATCGAGGGTACAGTATATATAAATATCAAATAACATTTCAAGATTTGATAAATTATGGATAATATGAGTGTACAGTAGGTATTAATGGATAATAATTAAATATAAATTCACACCAATTATAAATAGGTACACACTTGATTCTATCAGCGCACAGTAACAAAGAATATTCGTTCATTTCGTTATAGATATTTGTATAAGAAATAAAAAAAAACACATTTTAATGTATAAGGTAAATATTTATTTTATAATAAATAATTTTTTAATTTTCTTTTGAAAGAAACAAAAGAAGTAGTATTAATAATATCAATAGGTAGTGAGTTAAAAAATTTTGAACCCTGAAATCTTACAGAAAATTGTCGGATATTTGTACGACACAATGGAGTTCTAATGGCCATCACACTCCTTGTATTATATGAGTGGACTTGATAATTTGATAGAAACATGTCATTAAATTTATTTGGTAAAAGACCACTGCGATGAGAGTACATAAATTTACCCAGTTGAAATAAAAGAATATCATTAACTTTAAGGATAGAACAGTTCTTAAATAAAGGTTCTGTATGTGCATCAAATTTACATTTATTTAGAATTCTAATTGCTCGCTTTTGCAGTATATTGATACGATGAAGATTATTTGGATACGTTGAAGCCCAAACAATAATACAATATTGGATATACGGGTAAACAATTGAATAGTACAAAGTGAGTAAGGATTTCTTATGTAGATAAAAACAGGCTCTTAACATTATTCCTATGGATTTAGACATTTTACGTGCTACATACGAAATGTGTGATTTCCAAGATAATTCCTCATCCAATACTACCCCTAAAAAGACAGTTTCTTTCACTTGCTCAATATATTCATTATTAATGATTATTTGAAAAGTATAATTATATTTCTTTTGTCTTGGTTTAAATACAATAAATTTTGTTTTTTCTAAGTTTAATGAAAGCTTATTTGATTTAAACCAGTCTGACAATTTTCTAATTTCAATATTCAAAATATTAGTTAATTCTATTGGGTCTTTATTCGAAATAAATAAGTTTGTATCATCCGCAAATAAGATAAGCTCCAATATAGTTGACACATGGATTATATCATTGATATATATTAAAAAGAGCAGCGGACCAAGGATAGAACCTTGTGGGACCCCACATTGTATTTTATTAGGACAGGAACAGTAATCATTAAATTGAACAAATTGTGTTCTATTTGAGGAATAACTCTTCATCCAGTCCAAAGCTAATCCACGAATTCCGTAATGGTCAAGCTTATCAAAAAGAATATTGTGATCTAAAGTGTCAAAGGCTTTAGATAAGTCTAAAAATACACCAACTGCAAACTCTTTTTGATCAATTGCTAGTGATATTTTATCATAAAGATCCACCAGGGCTAAAGAAGTGGAATGACGTCACTACTTGGACTATTAATAATAACATGAAACTTAATATTTCCAAATACAAAGAGCTAATATTCGAATTTCCTAAAGATAAAAGATCTTTCGAACCCCTAAATGTGTCTGGTAACCCAATTAAGCTTGTCGAATCGGAAAAGATTTTAGGTCTCGTGTTCCAAAATAACTTAATATGGAATCTACACTTGGATAATATCTTTAAAAAGTCAAGTAAACGACTGTATATGGTGAGATTACTAAAACGGTCTTGCGCGGATACGAAGACTTTGATCGTTGTGTACATTACTGTAATAAGACCGATACTTGAGTATGCTTGCCAAGTGCGGCATTTTAACATTCAAATTTTTTTATCTGAAGACATCGAACGAATCCAGAAACGCGCACTAAATTTCATTGTCCCCTTTTCAAGTTATGGCGAGGCATTAAAGATTACGGGTATCATTACACTGTGCGACTGGCGTGAAAGCCTTTGCAACCAATTCTTTAGACAAAATATATGAATAATGATAAAATGACGGACATGTTTCCAGATCCATATACTCATCAAATTATGACTTATTACCACGTAAATTTAATAATTCTGTCCGCAAAACGGACCGCTTCAAACAGTCCTTTTTCCCCCAATGATTTTCAAAAAGAATAGTAGGATTATAACGTGGTTAGTTTAATATTTTTGCCATCACAATTTATTCTTATTGTAATATAGTTATACATAACTTCATGTTGCTAAGAACTTCCGTAATTTAATCTTTTGGTTACAAAAGAGTTCATCTTTAATAAATAATAATATTTGCCACTAATATTATTGAAATGAACGCTCCGGATGGGACAAACTTTTCTTCCCAAATGATTTTCAAAAAGAGTTGCATGATTATTGTTACAAAGAGCATGCGCATTAAGAAACTTATGAACATCCCACAATCATTAGTGTAATGTTAGTCATGTAAATATGTAGATATGTGTGAATAAATAATTGGATTTTTGTGTGACTTAAATCGTGGTAAGAAATGGTCATTCGAGCCGGATGCGAATCTCTTTGGTAGTTCAAAAAATAGGGTACTTCCTTGAGTAGAAGAACTTGCATCACAGATTACGTCATCAGTTAGTTATAGTGATTAGTGTTGAGCTTAGGGTTAGGATTAGGGTTAGAGTAAGGGTTAGATTAAGGATTATGCTTAGAGATAGGGATTGGGTTATTATTGACGCGATAAACAGCACAACTACTCGATCACGTGATCAGTTCTCCTCTACCCGAGGAACTAGCCAAAAAATATGTCTCGAGGGGGTGCCGCGGAGGCGCTCTGGAGACTAGACAACTGGAATTGCTGATGATGGGACACCGAATAAGGAAGAGCTCGAGATAGCTTGGCATATTACTAGTCGCAAAACAAGCAAGAGCAAATTTACGAATATCCGAAATCGAATTATTTCGTTAGTGGAAGATGCCTCCGCTTCGTGTCGTGAGGTAGAACAGTTTTTCGCAGAATTAAAAGAATTAGAAGCGAAACTAGAAGAGACATGTGAGAAGTTACGGTATTTGTTTACAGTACTTAAAACCGACGCTCGTGTGACTCAATTAGACCAGTGGTTAGACCAGTTATTTGACGAAGCTTTGGAAGTTAAATCAGCTGTAGCTCGATACTTGCACAATCCCTCTAGAAGTAGAAATTCGTGTGTAAAATCAAGATTTCAAAGTCTACGGATAAACAACAATTTGGTGATTTATTCGAAACAATCAAGCATGAATTGCCTGAATTTGAAATACCGACAATGAATCTAGCTTCAATTGCCCATTACAGAGATAAGCTAACCTAAAATCTACTTCTAAGCGTGTTATTCACGGACAGCAAGAATGTCAAGACGAAGAGAAGAGCGAAAAAGTTATAAAAAATAAGATGGCAGTCACAGGGAAAAGTAAACCAGACAATTATCGTGATACGGTTGACTAGGTTGAATCAAAGCAAAATATTCGTGAAACAACTAATTATGAAAGGTCACAACTTAACTCAAACTCGGACAGTGTAGAGAAAGAAATACGTCAGTTAGAAAAATAAATTAAAACTATTAGGGCTGCACGAAAAGCTGTCAGTGATCTTCAAATGCCTATAATGACAAATAGACGAACAAACGATTCCTTACGTGACCACGATATGATTGAACAATCCAGTCAACCGAAAAGGGAAGCCGAAAGCAATCTCGAATTATGGAGAGCTCTCAGAGACCAACGCGAGCGTGAAACACCTATGAGAACAAATCAGCGAATAAATACGTCTTTAATTGGTCCCCAAAGGTCGAACTATCTAGATCTACACGAGCGGATGAGGGGAACAGTAACAAGTTATGAAACCATTTAGAACGAATTCATGTACCAACATTTTCCGGCGATAAAACCAAGTTTGAAGAATGGAAAGCTCGTTTACTGTGTGTGTTGATAAAACTGACGCGTCAATAATGCATAAGTTAATCCGTTTGCAGTCGCTTTCACGAGGGGAAGCGGAAGAACTTCTCGAAGGTCTTGGCTGGGAAAGCAGCGATTATTATAGCATGTGGAAAATTCTTGAAGATGAATATTGAGGGGATGAGCGGTTTATTAACCATCAAATGTAACTTATACGCGACGTAAAACAAGTAAAAACTGTAGAATATATTCGACAATTTTCTCGGCGTCTAAACACACGCGTAGTTACAATAAAGAATCGTCGACGGTATGACGAGTTGGATGCCGATATTTTGTATTGTGTGGTTAATTCGAAATTATCTCCAAGACTACTGGAAACATACTATACGTGGCTTGATGACCAACATCGTAGATCTACTTTGGAAGCCCTACGACATTGGCTATTGGTTTATTCGAGGCATAAAGTGCAAGCCGAAGAAGATGTTGAGGGTGTTATAAAGAATGATCAAGAAAGAAGACCAAATCGTTGCAATAACACATACACGTCAGCAGGGAACAACAGAAAAACGACGTCTATTTGTTTCAAACGTAACAAGAAACATTATATTTCGAACTGTTATCGGTTCAAGTCGATGTCCTTAAAAGTACGTTGGGAATTTGTTCCAGAAAAGAACTTATGTTTTAAATGCTTGAACTCAGGTCATCAAAGTGTAAAATGCGATAAAGATGAGACGAGTCCAATCTCGGAATGTCACAGTCGATATCACCCGTTGCTCCACCGACATCAGCCCAAAGCAATTGGAAAGGATAATGTTGAACAGTCAACTACCACCGAGCAACAAAATGAGGAACAGAGAGAAATTCATAATGATCTAAGTAAAACAAATCTACCCCCTCCTACATCAATGAGTAATCACGTAACCGATAATGGATCACAATTTATAGCACTTAGAACAGTTCCTGTCGTTCTGGTTAATGGCAATCAACGCATTGTAGCAAATGCCTTCCTTGACGAAGGAAGTACCGCTTCGTTTGTTCGAGAAGATATTGCTCATAAACTTAAATTGCAAGGAGCACCTGAACAACTTCACGTTTCTACCTTAACCGGAAAGACGACGTTCAATAGCACCCGTGTTCAAATCAATGTGGAAAGTCTTGATAGCAAATTCAGTAGTCGAGTTGATGCTTGGAACAAGGATTCTGTAACTCCAAGACTTCATGTGATTGATTGGAACAAACAAAAGAGTCAATGGCCCCACCTTCGTCACCTTGAATTTCCCCATGTTCCACGCAACCGAGTCGTTCACATCCTGATTGGAATCAACGCTATTGAATTTCACTCACCTCTTGAAGAAATTCCTAGTTTACACGGTGAACCGGTCGCTCGAAGAACACCCTTGGGTTGGACGTGCGTTGGACCCTGTCAGAGAAACATTGCTCTATCTGAAGTGCGTTCTCATTATGCTTTTCACATTGCGATGAAAGAAGATGAAGGGGATAATTTGGACTGTACCCTACAACGCGTTTGGGATCTCGAATCTATCGCCTTAGTACCACGCAGAGAAGAGACATCCACTCCAGACGATTTGGAAGCTGAGAAGAAAGTTGCGAATTCCTTACGTTATGTCAACTGTCGCTACGAAGTAGGAATACCATGGAAGAAGAACGAAGCACAGTTGGAAAATAATTACAACTTGGCTTATAAACGTCTAGAAACACTCGAACAGTCTTTAAAACGACGTCCGAATGTCGCCGAGAGTTACCAAAAAGTAACTGACGATCATTTGTCCAAAGGGTATATTCGGAAACTTACCCGCCAAGAAAAGCAACGACCAAAGTAGTACCTTCCACATTTTCCTGTGGTGCGCAACGATAGATCAACGACGAAAGTCAGAATAGTCTTTGACGCAGCGTGTAGTTTTCAAGGGAAAAGCCTGCATGATTCTATGCACACTGGTTCTAAGCTACAGAAGGAAGTTTTGGACGTACTTTTACGTTTTCGCCGCGACAGGAGTGCCTTATCGGGTGACATTAGCGAGATGTTTTTGCAAGTTATCATGGCAGAAAGTGATTGTACATATATTCTTTCCTGTGGCGTGACCTGAAAAACGGAACTTCTGATGTTTATGAATTTCAACGATTGGTGTTTGGAGATAAAGCGTCCACCTACTTGACTCAAGCTGTGTGTCGAGAACATGCAAAGAGAAATGCAAATGAATACCCGGATGCCGCCAGGACAGTCTTGGATTCAATGTATGTGGATGACACCTTGGATTCAGTCTCGAACGCAGCAAAAGTAATTAATCTTCGACCTAATTTAACGGCAATGATGGCTCAAGCTGGAATGAAAATTAGAAAATGGTGCTGCAACGAAACAGCCGTGAGGCGGACGTCTTTCCTTTGGATAGTGCTCAAGGAAGTATAGAGATACGAGAAAAACTTTGCCAACAATCAAAGCTCTGGGAGTTACTTGGGAAGCCCGCAATGACTTGTTAACTTTTCAATACGCAGCACCCTCTATACCTGACCAATTAACGAAGAGAGTCGTAACAAGTTTTGCAGCCAAAATCTTCGATCCGCTGCAGATTTTGTGCCCATTTACAATACAAGCCAAAATTCTCCTACAGAAAGCCTGGGGTCTCACTTGGGATGAGAAACTACCTGATGATTTGTCCAAATCGTGGAAACAGTGCTTTGAGCGGCTTACTCAACTTAGAGCATTAAAGTTGGGAAGGTGCCTTCGACAAGATCGAAGTGTTGATAGCCAATCAGTTCACACGTTTGCCTCAACGCAAGCGTACGCCGCGGTTTCATACATTCAGAACATTTGCCTCGATGAAACAGTTTCAGTGGTGTTTATAGCAGCTAAATCGCGAGTCGCTCCTTTAAAGAATTAACTGCACTAAGATTTGAACTTCTATCAGCAGTACTCGGTCTACGATTGAGTGATTACATTTCAAGAAGTTTACAAATTCCTTTGAGTCAACACCACTTCTGGACTGATTCTCAGAATGTTATCTATTGGGTAAATGGTAGTAGCTCCAAATTCAAGCCTTTCGTTGCACACCGTATTGCAGAAATCCAAAAATCTACTTCGCCTACACAGTGGAAACATCTTCCTGGAGCAATTAATCCAGCGGATATTGCCACAAGAGGGATCACATCGGAACAGGTCGTCGCAAGTGAAACTTGGATGAACGGGCCTCTGTTTTTGCACAGCGACCCTTGGCTTGAGCAACGCTATGTTATCCCTGAAGAAGGAACATGTGAAGAAAAGAAAAAAGAATCAACTGAACATGTTCATCTGACGCAGACATCCGTTCATTCACCCCTCAAGTTTTTGCTACTAGATGCAACTCGATTTTCAAAGTCGATAAAGGTCGTTCGTTGTACGGCTTGTGTTTTACGATTTTTCCACAACGTAGCCCGTGGTAAGCTTGAAAAACGACATGGTGAATTAGATGTTGAAGAAATCCAAGAAGCAGAGTACTATTGGATACGTTATGTCCAAAGGAATGGATTCGAATCAGAGTTAAGAGCCGTGAAGAGTAGGCAGCAAATACCTCGTCAAAGTCCGACTAGAAGTTTAAACGCCGTTCTTGACGACAACGGTATATTGAGAATGAAAAGGAGACTACAATGGGCAGAACAATTGCCTGACGAGACAAGAAACCCCATTATTCTACCGAGATTGGCTTACATAGCAAAACTAATCGTTGGTAAATATCATGAAATAGGAAATCATGAAAATGGTGTGAATCACGTTCTTGCTGACATTCGAACACGGTTTTGGATCGTACACGGGCGAGAAGCAATCAAGTCCTATGAGTCAGAATGCAACACATGCAAAAAGAATCGAGCCAAAGCAGCGAAGCAAATCATGGCGCCGCTACCCAAATCAAGAATAGGGCTACCCATGAGAGCATTCGCCAGGTGTGGTGTGGATTACGCTGCACCGTGTTTAACGAAGCAAGGCAGAGGGAAATCTAGAACAAAACGATATTTATGTCTCCTCATGTGTTGTGCTACTCGCGCCGTACATTTGGAAATGGCTTGGAGTATAGACGCCAATTCCTTCTTGTCGGCGTTTACCCGGATGACCAGTCTTCGCGGGTTGCCCCTGGAGGTGATATCAGATTATGGCACGAACTTTGTAGCAGCGGAACGTGAATTACGAGAATTATTCAAGGCGATGGATAAGAATGAAATCAAGAAATCTATGACTAATCAACGCATTAAATGGCGATTCAACCATCCAGGTGCAAACCACTTTGGCGGTTTCTTCGAAGCCCTTACAAAAAGTGCGAAACGAGCCATGAAAGCTGTAATTGGAAATGCAGAAATTACTGATGAGGAGTTACTTACTACGATTGTTGGAGTAGAAGGTTTAATAAATTCCCGGCCCCTTACATACCAGAGTGCAGCGCCCAAGGATGATTCTGTACTAACCCCGAATCATTTCCTTTACGGTCAGCTTGGTGGACAAATGGCATCCGAAGTAGACGAACTGGACATTCACCCACGACGACAATGGTTACGAATTCAACAAATCAAAAAAGGATTTTGGCGCAGATGGCTTCGAGAGTTTCTACCTGCAGTGAACTCACGAAAAAAGTGGACAGAAGAAAAGAAGGATATTGAAGTTGGGAACATTGTTATTTGTATTGATCGAAATCTCCCTCGGAGAACTTGGCCTCTTGGCTGTGTAGAAGAATTCTTCATTGGACCAGATAAACATGTTCGCAATGCGCGAATTAAAATTGGACAAAAACAGTATGTACGACCAATAACACGGTTGTGCTCATTAGAAATTGCATGAGAAAATGATTTAAATTGAGTGAAGGATTTTTGTCATTGTCAGAAATAGGAGGGGAGATGTTACAAAGAGCATGCGCATTAAGGAACTTATGAACATCCCACAATCATTAGTGTAA